CGATTACGTGTTCGAAGACGAGGGGCAGGCGGTCCATACGACCGACAGCTAATTTATGTTCCTTGATACGCGTACCCTGGAGTCGATCTGTGTGTCCAACATACGCACCAGAGCAATGTGCACACGGTATGCTATAAACTACGTTGGATTGTTATTCCTTTGCTATAGGGTCCTTTATACGTGATAGCGCTGCACGTAATGATGATGCTGGTTTTTGCCCGATGTGGATATCGAAGGCACGTAACTGTCTGGCGATTACTTCGGAAGTCCCCTGCATATAAGGAAGGGAATAGAATTTTCGCATCCTAATTTCTCCACTAGGGTTGGGGACTTGCGGTTGTGTTTGACGCCTGAGGCAGTTCTTTACGAAACTGGTCGGATATCCGTTAGATCGAAACGAGCGATACAGGTAAGCGAGTTCTTTCTTGAGGAGTTCGTCGCTGTTACAATAGCGATAAGCCCACTGGAACAGGGTTTGCACGCAGCTTCTTTTGTGAACAGCGGGATGATTGCTACCATAATTTAGGGTAATATCCGCGTTGGATCCTTTCCTGTAGACGCTTTTGGCTAGACTACCATCGCTCAGTTTTTGTATTTAACATTTTCAGATGTTTTATCTATTAAAGAAGCTGCAATTTATTGACGTGATAACTTGCCCTGACATTATTTTAATTTGAAAACGGGCATCTCAAGAAGTATAATTTGATCGAAAAGATTCTTTAGGAAACGAGAAACGAACTTTATTGTAAATTCTCGATGCTGGCACACCAAGTCGTCGTCGGACTTGAGGGAAACGTGTAAAGAACGTTGCCAGCATGCCAAAAAATCTATAATGATTCGTCATCCATAGTCAATAGTAGGCTCTGGTGGTTGGCGTTTTTTTAATGCTTTTTTGAGATATATGTACATTGACTCCAAATTAACATGCCTATTGATCTATGCTTCATTAGAGAAAATGGCTTCTAAAAATACGCGGCCTTTTTTTATGGGCAGGAACCTACTGTGTGGGTTTGGCTACATGCAAATCTTTGCCCAATTTCAAGCGAATGCATTGCGACTTCGGACAGGTGGTCACGCCTCTTTACCGCTAATCGGTGTTCATGTATGCGTGTAGAGGTGGACCTTTCTGTTTTTCCACAATAAATTGCATCGCTGTCGATGCAGAGAATTTGGTAAACGACCTCTTTTCTGTCCAAATAGCCAACCCTATCCTTAGGGTGTACAAGCTGATTTCGAAGCGTGGTGGTTGGCTTCTGCGCCACTTGGATTTGGTACTTCCTCAGGTATCTTTCAACGAGTTCAGACCCGTTTTTAATATATGGGAGTGTTCGCCATTTTCTTGGATTGGGCGCTTGATCGGAACAATCTAGTTCCGTTTCTTTTTGTTTTAACTCTTGTTGTCTCATGTATCAGTGTATCAACTCCCTAGGGTAACCATTTTTTGAGAATAATTTGAAAAAGGTACTTGAGTTCGTTTTCGTAAAGTTCAGTGTTAGGGCTGTGTGTTCTTGCTCGATTGATTAGGGTGTTAACAGTACTCCACTTATGAGCAATGGGGTGGTTGCTCTCGTAATGAAGGATAACATCAGCAGAGGCCTTTTCGCGGTAAACCGATGTTTGAAACGTCCCCTCAGTAGTTCGCTGTAGAAGGACGTCAAGAAATGGGAGTTTATTGTTAATTTCTTTTTCGAACGTAAACGTGATTCCTGGTATCGTCGAATTAATGATGTTGTGAGGTGTTTCCAGCCGGTCCTTTTTAACAATGACAAACGTGTCATCGACATAGCGTACCCACAACTTGGGATTAACTAGAAGTAGGGCCGTAATTTACAATTTTTGCATAGTTATTTAAGCCAAGAAGCCTGAAATGGCTGACCCCATCGGGGCTCCTTTTATCTGTTGATCGTATTTTTGTGCAGACGAAGAATCTGCTTCCAAACATAGATCTAAGAGTTCAAGCAAGACAGATACAGGAAAGTCCGACGAAAACCTGGTGTGCCAGTGTCGAAAATTTACAATAAAGTTCGTTTCTCGTTTCCCAAAGAATCTTTTCAATCAATTATTTTAATTTTTTATTCTCTTTTTATCATAAGAAATGACAATTTGTACTTTGTTGGGAAAAAAACCTACTGCCATCTCAAAAAACAGCCAGAAGACGTTCGAGCTAATTATACCCCCCGGGCAACGTTTGCATGAAGAATTCCCCAATGAAACAAATCCCTTTACAGTGCTCGGTAAAACGCTGGCATAGACGTTCATTCGTGGCGGAATTTGCATAAATGTGGACGTTATATTTAATTATTTCTTAACAATGATAGTTAGAGAGCGCAGTGCGACCACAGAACAACTTTGGGAGATTCGGGAACGATGAATATCAAAAAACGGAGGCCGTGAGAACGATTGCTATGATTGCTAAAAGTGCACGATAGTTAGAATGTCCATCTCTCATTGATTGGCGGCGGCCAATCAAGATATTCGGTGTTGTGCAAGACTTCCTCGGCAAAGGTAAAATTTGAAGTTATTTTGGTGATCAGCCCAGACCGCTAGGCGGATCTTCTGTATCTGTTGAAGTCATTCTCCTTAAATAGCTGGCTACAGTATATCTACACGTACCTACGAGGGTTATCCATAAAATAAAGTCAAATACACGCCCAAGTCTAAGGGACAAAAATAGACTGGTTAATCCGAACTAAAACGCGGGACCGTGAATCGAAGATCCAACGAACCAATGGACACCAGTTATGCCTTGACAATTATAACTGTCATGCCCGAATTAACGTCAACAGAATAATATACGATGTATTCTGAGATGAAAATTTAATAATTCAAATAATTAGGGTATTTGACCGAGTTTAAGTTAATTGAAAAGTGCACAGCCAAAAAAACCTGGGTCGGTGGCCGCAGCCGAAATATCGATCTCCTGACTTTTGGTCGAGGGTTTGCGGTGACCCAATTACGAGCGCACGTGCATCCGCGGATGCTAGTAAGTGCGCAAGCACCAGTGCCTGTCTACCCCAATCCAGTCTGGCCAATCATCTTCCTGTGGTGGACGCTGTGATGCCTTCTAGGCTCACACAACGTGGACGCTGTCCCTCTCGGGTGGAGACGCACTTTCCTAGGACTTTCAAATTCCTTTAACCTATTCTCCACTACTTCTGTAAAGAATTTATGATGTCATCCACCTGGCATCTCACTTCTCGTCTTCCCCTGCGGCACCGGGCCTGAAAATTACGGCAGCAGAGGTTTTACCTATTAACTTAAGTCACCGCGATGGGTTTTGTGATCTATGCGTCTCGCCTTATGCGAACTGGAAATATTCCCCTATCTCTGGCACGAAAGGTGAGTCTATTCGAAAGCAAGCGCTATTTATCAGAATAATGAGCAATATCAAGGTAGTGCATGTAAGACACCGGCCATGTTATTGAATGTTAGGCCTGCTCAAGTGCAAGAGATGTAGTCTAAGCAGGGTTAAAGCTTTCAAACTTTTGCCCCTTAATGAAGCCTCTGCAGTTGTCTACAAAGTACGTTGCAACGGTGGGGACTGCAATTACGTTGAAGAAACAGGG